AAAATTATTGAAATCCTATATCGTTTTCAAGTAAATACATACATTTAAATAAGAATCACAAATAGCGACATAAAATCTAAAATCAGTAAAAAAATACGCAGAAGTAGAAAATTTTATAAGTGACAAAATTTTAAATTTTACAACAAACAAAACTAATAAAATCAATTATATATTAAATATTTAGGTTTTCAAATTAAACCATATAAGATATAAAATATTATGTTTTATTTACAATTTTTCATTCGTAAAATGTATTATATTTTTTTAAGAGATTGGATCATTCAACTGATGTTTGACTACATTTTAACATTTTATATTATATTATAATGTTTCATTAATTTAGTAATAATTGTATTATCCCAATAATCACAGATATGGAACTAATACCTACATAAGTTATTCTTGCACCATATAGGATCTAACATATTTAATACCCAACCTTTTTTACCTAAGGTACTTACATAATATGATTTATTAACAAATAGGAACTAACCAATGAATTTTTTACCTCCTAGGTCTCATGTATGAACATATGTTGACCCACACGCTTAGACCTACGACGCCTTAACCTCGTGCACTTAGACTGACTCTTTCAAAACAAATTCAATTAGCACTGGGGAAGTACGATTGTATGTTCTTGTCGGTTATACGTTGGTAAATTCTAAATTAGAATGACTCAAGGTTCTATTTAACATGCACTATTCTGTTTAAATAAAAGTAGAAACCGCCGCTGTTCTTTTTTAAAATGTAAGAAGTTAAAATTGTAGAAATAAAACTCAATTACAGTTTTAGAAACAAGTTTATTGGTACACGCGAGTGGCGGTGTTATAATTTAGAAAAATTATGCTTCTCTGACGACCTTAATAAATTTAAAAGTTACTAAAATATATTTGCACCTATACTTCATATTATATTATATTAATTAAAATTATATTGACATCATTGTCTACATTGTCTAAACTGTCCACAATAAATGGCAACAAAAAATGTACCCACCCCAACAATATATTAAGATGTCGATTTCTGTGCTTTTGTTTGTATTGAGAATCATCACATTTAGTCGTGCGATGCTACTTAAGCCTACTTATAATTATTATTTTATACATGTATCTACGTTTTTGTTTAGTTTATATAACGGAAGGCCGAGTGATCAACGGAAGTCTTTCACTAAAGGAACATTATAATTTATAATCGACCAACTGGTTTACTACTCGGTTTACTATTAAAATACACGGATCAGAATTCACAAAAAATTGATATGCTATTTACTAAAACGGTAGGTTTAAATCAATATAACGCAATACTATATTATTATAAGTTTATATATTTTAATATTAGTGATTCAATTTTTTTTTTCAGCTCACAAATTACTTATACAGTGTTCATCCAAACCACGTGTTCGGAATGGACATTGTCAGCTTGGATAGACAATGGAGCCACGATTATGGTATACCAAGCTACACAGAATTCAGAAAATATTGTCGACTAAAAGCTATAAGAAGTGTACAAGATTTATCCCGGATCATGGTTGAAGGGGTAAGTTTAAAAATATTTAAAATATTAAATAATAACATAGTGATTATTTTATTTCTGTATAATATTTAGTCAACTGCTCGACTATAGAAGCAATACAAACATTGGAGAGATATAGTGCTATTGATTGGTGCATTGTTTGAGAAAAATAAAGATGACTCAATGGTTAGCCCAACGATGAGATGTATCATTAGAGAACAGTTTATAAGAACTAGAAAGGCAGACAGATATTTTTACGATTTACCAAAAGTAATTGTAATATATAATATTTAGACTTAGAATAAAACACGAGACAAATAATGAAGACGGACCATATTATGGGGTGTGGGTGGTCCGATATGCATATATACGTACGTATTAGGTACATATATACTTACAATATACGCACTCCTTTTACATACACGCAGAACCTGCAACACATAAATACTATTCTACACCTCTCCGACCAGATGTTTAGTGGAGACAACACAATCAAATATCAACGGCGCCAGTAAACACCGTATATTATAAAATCATGAAAGCATTCTTTCATATACATATACGTACATCACACGTGTACGTACACATATATAAATATTATATACTTCAAGTCCCCTTCGATAATTCTCCAATCAAGACGTTCGGTCAAAACAAAACCATAAATTACCAGCGATACCTTTGTCGCACCGCACAAAATAATAAAATATATCAATACTTTAATATCACGTACTAATCGATGCACAAGAAGAAGGGACCAACCAAAATCACATTATATAAGGGCCACAGAGAATCGACTCGTCGCCATGTGTCTATTCCGGAGATACACAATGGTCCACTACAGTATCTTTCAGGAGAAGACGCATGCACAACGTCCACGCCAGTCAACATCACGATATTTTCCACTACTGTCCAAAGGAGTGCTTATGTCTGTCTAAATTGGTTGTCTCTCTATCAGTTAAATTGAAATTGTTCATCCTTTACACTCACCTATCCATTGATCTTTCAAAACATAAGGTTATGTGACTATCATCATATTATAGGCCTGTTACATCACTACTGCACATTTATGTCTTAGAACACGAGTATAGTAAAAAGTGCTCTCTTAACTAAAATTACATTCGGTCGGCGATTGGACTATACGTACTCATTGTCACGAATGTAGGAATTCTAAGAGTTATATGTAGAATATAAGTATAGAAATAAGTGCTCTCTTAACTTAAATTACATTCGGTCGGCGATTGGACTATACGTACTCATTGTCACGAATTTAGGAATTCTAAGAGCTATATGTAGAATATAAGTATAGAAATAAGTGCTCTCTTAACTTAAATTACATTCGGTCGGCGATTGGACTATACGTACTCATTGTCACGAATGTAGGAACTCTAAGAGCTGTGTTCAAGATATAAATGTGTAATAACAAATATTCATCGCTTTAAATTACATTCGGTTGGCGAAGAGACTATACGTACTCCTGTTACGAATGTAAGGATTTTGAGAGCATATGGTGACAGTCACAGGTAGAAATTGTATACGAAATTCTACTGATCACATAAAAGAATATACATATAATATTGTCATCGTGATATCGACTGTCGAACACGACCCCGAAGAACTGCAAACCACTTAAAAGAAAACCAGCTACAGTGAGGTAAGTGTTTGAATGTTTATATAATAAAAGTAGGTAATTCAAATATCATTAGGCAGTTAGGTACAACACAGTAGTAGGGAGATCTTATGCGGAAATCTCCAATATTTATTATAACACACATGTCTCTCCCCTATTACCATTACCTTCCCCTACCGCCTATTTTCCCCTTACAACTAAATAGTTCCCAGCTTATTTTCTCCTTACTACATAATTATGAATGTTTATATATCTGAAATATTTTTAATGAATAATCCTGATTTTAACTATATTTTTTTAATTTTTAAGATCATTGATCAACTGACAGAAATCAGAAAAGTAACGCTTGCCAGATTCTTTTGTGATAAAATAATATCACAATCACTGGTCTGAAATGGTCGATACATTTCAAAAATAACCTCATATAAATCATTGATGTATTTATGTATAATGTATTATTGTTGTATTGTTGAAAAACAATATTAACAGTTTTTTATATTAATAATCAATAATCAGCTTTCAATCTAACCTTTTTTTCATTATACCTATGTGTCATGTTATTAATAAATATTTTTTATATGAATTATGAGTCTATATATTTATTATTTAATTAATTACATTTTTAATTGTATAATATACATTTTTAAATGTTGATAAAATTTGTAAGTACAATATATTATGTTCATTAATATTTTTAAATGATACAGCTAAAATATTTTTGGGAAATTTGAAACAAACGATACATTTTTCTTGGGAAAAATTAAAAATGGAATTCTTAGACAAATTTTAATCAATAGGATATTCATTAAATTAAATTATGAATTATACAACAAGAATCAAGATGATTTAGAATCAATAATGAGTTACGTATTAGAAATTTGTGATCATCTAAAGTTATCTTCCTGTACGAAAAAGTGTGTCGTTACTTATCGTTACTTATTGCGTGTGAATGGGTGTGTGTGTTGCCCAATAAACATTTTATAATTTTAAACATTAAATGTATCATTTAAATACATTAATAGTTCAGTATTAATATTAATGGTTTAATTAACATTTGATAAAAGTAAAAAAAAATTTTCCGCCCCCTACTGCCGAGCCTAGTGGTTAATCCGCCACTGTTCTTTGGTCGATTGATCTATCTTTCTGCTAGGATTGATAATTCTAAATTCAATTGTTTGTTTCAATTATCAATAATTTCTATGCCCATTTCTTTTGAGTGTCGTTCTAATTGTTAATTTTTTTGATTTAATCTATTTGTATATTCACTGACCATATGGTTTTCCCTGTTACTTATTCTGAAATGCATTATTTTTTAATCGAGTCATTGTCATTAAAATAAAATATTATAAGTTTTTAGAGTTATAATAAGTTTCAAAACAATTGCTAATATTCATTGAAGCGTGACTATATATATTAATCTTAATTGAAAGTTCAGAACTAAGATTTTTAAATCACTCATTCAAAAATAAAAATATTGAATAGTACCTATATTATATAACGGTCGGTATTCGGTATCGTCGTGGAAGAATAAACGATACCTTTTGGTGAGAGAGGAAAATAATAGTTGATGACGTAACGTAGTAACGGATATACATACTATATCCGTGGTAACGTCCGAACTACGCCATTTCAGTCATTTCACTTTATAAACCCGGGACGAGTACTAGTATTTTCTTTTATTAATTGTATCCGTCTCCCGGCAAGGCAAACCCCGCGTACCATCAGCTCGCATCATTTCCGTCAATTATTGCACGCACCTCAGACCTCGCACGCCGGCTTAACATCACGCCCGATCCATCGAGCATCGTGCGGCGGCGGATACGACTATCACCACGACACACATACCGCGCACGCCGAAACAATGACAGACATTGAAAAATTATTGAACATCGACAACATAATTTCTAGACTCTTGGAAGGTAAGCCGCCGGTGGGCCATGACGGAAACGCGGTTCCGCCGTCCGCCTTTGGGTACCAATTTCGGTCGGTCCCTGGGACCGATGACGATTCATTTATAACAATTGTTGTAACTGTTTAACAGTGCGCGGTGCGAGACCTGGCAAGAACGTTCAGCTGTCCGATGGTGAAATGATAGGCCTATGCCTCAAGTCCAGGGAGATCTTCCTAACGCAACCCGTGCTATTGGAGCTCGATGCGCCGTTGAAAATATGTGGTGAGTACCTCCAACACTTCTGACTGTATGTCGTGTTAACGCTCCCGTTAGCCATACACCCTTACCATTACTATTTTTATTGTATTCTCACTAGGAACATTGGTTAATGTACTCAGTGTGTTGTTTGGATATATTTTGGTTGTGTTATATACCTATCTAATAATATGGAATGTAAATATTTTGATTTATGTATGCCACCGAATAAATATAATGCAGTAGTTGTTTTTGTGCTTCTTAGGTATAGGTACAACAAATTAAGTAAATCATATTGTATGTTACATAGACTCATTTTTAATACATTTTAATCTCAAATATTTAAAAGAACAATATTGAAGTTGTTAATCTAAAATGCTCCTATTTAATCAATGAAATTGCCTATTAGTTTCATGTTATGTAAACACGAATCAGATTTTATATCAATTATATCATATAAATATTAATGAGTTATTACATCCTCCATTTCTTCTCTAAAATGTTTGTGTTTGTGTTTGTAGTTATTAAATATAATTGGAATAAATATCATACCATATATTTTGAGCAAAAAGTATCCTCCATAGTTCATACCAAATGAAAGTCTTAGAATGTAGTTATATTTTTGGTATTTAAAGAAGGCCAACATTATTTAAAAATCTCAATAAATAATTGAGTATTCTTTCCATAATTTTTCAATAAATTATATTCTTTAACCCCTAAAAAACTTAGTTATAAGTACCTAGATTTGGTCGAACAAAAAAAGTACTGTAATTACTCTAAAGGTTTTAACTTTGACTATTAAATTCACTATTAAGTGAGTAATATTTATTAATTTTAAATAAGAATTGGTGGGAAATATAATACAATTTTATAAATATTGTTTAGATTACCTATATTCTTCAAATAAACTCAGTGTGGGAAGCTAAGAAAACATTACAATAGCATTTTAAACTCCTGATGTAGAAACATCATGTAATAAATCTTATCAATTAGAACTTGACTCTGTCCCACGAGTGAACATGCCAGTTCTGCGCATCCCTCTGCTGTCAAAACCAGTTTCACTATAGAAGGGTTTCACATGGGTTTGCGCAGAAAAACCGATTTTGGTCGGGCCGTGGCATGATCTCACTTGGAACAGAGTACTTATAGTCACTTAAGATATTTCATGCAAAGAAGACATAAAATAATTTAATCAAAATGTTTTTTAAGTTCATAATAACATTTTTGTAATCACTATCAAAAAGAGTGATTGATAAGACATGATACAATAAACTTTGTGTACAATCGTTGTTTAAAATTAAAATTACATTTTACAAATTTAAATAATTTTCTAGATGGTTTAATATATTTTGAACAACATGGATATATGTACACATATACAGTAAAAAGCATTAAATGTACTTGTCTTATCTAAAATGAACTCTTTTTTTCTTTTCAAGGGGATATTAAAGGTCATTACTATGACTTATTACGTTTATTCGAGTATTGCGGTTTTCCACCTGACTCCAACTACTTATTCTTGGGTGATTATGTCGATCGTGGCGAACAGTCTCTGGAGACGATATGTCTGTTGTTGGCATATAAAATAAAATACCCCGAAAAGTTCTTCCTTTTACGTGGCAATCACGAATGCGCTAGAATAAACAGAAAATATGGGTTTTATGATGAATGTAAGTAATAATTAAAACGATTTTAAACCTTTAATCTAATAATTTATTTATATTATTAGGTAAACGGCGGTATAATAAAAAGCTCTGGAAAGTATTTAACGACTGTTTTAATTATTTGCCTGTGGCAGCAATTGTTGAAGAAAAGATTTTTTGTTGTCATGGTGGTCTTAGTCCTGATTTTCAATCAATGGATCAAATTAGGCAGATTGTGAGGCCAATAGATGTTCCTAATCAGGGACTGTTATGTGACTTGCTTTGGTCTGATCCTGACAAAGTAATAATATAATATTATTTAATATGAAACGGTGCGTCCGATTGGACGACCCGTGTCGTAAATAAAATAACAATTGTGTGCTCGATAATCAAGTTTTTCTATTGCTTGGTTAAATTATAATTTATATTTACAATGTTGGGACAAGTAAAGCGTCGATTTGTGCCGACCGGACTTAACTAAGTGAGTCGGCACAATCGGAGGCGCTTGGGTATTGTGGTCGGACAATTGTCGGACCCTATCTTCACAAGTGTTTTTATAACGGTTTATATAAGTTATACAATATGATCGGCTAGGAAGCCGGCCGTCGTCGGTGCAGACTTAAGTCAAGCGGCACCCCGACGACGAACCAGACTTGGGTCGGATAACTTAATTAAGTGCCGAGGTTGGGGTCGTGGTGGCCCTGAAAAGGGCCTTTTAATGTTGTCACGCCGTGAGTGGTCGGCCTATCCGGTGATCCCGTAGGCTGGGGTGGTTGAGTGGCGGTCGGGCGGCCTCGTCACGGCAAGAGTACACTGACACTGGTCTCTCCCCGTTGAGCGGCAGTCACGGGGTCGGTTGGTCCTGACGATGATGGCGTTGTTGATCGACCGATCTTTGCGCCCGTAGATAGGTGGTCGACGGGTCGTTATTGTTCGGCAGTTGAATGACGTTTACAGCCGTGGAGCGGCGTCGTTGTCGATATGCGTCGGTATGATGATATACGCAATCGGGAACGGCGGTGGTCTGCGGTCGAATGGCGCTGGTAGCCGTGGAGCGGCGTCGTTGTCGGTATGCGTCGGTATGATGATATACGCAATCGGGAACGGCGGTGGTCTGCGGTTGAATGGCGCTGGTAGCCGTGGAGCGGCGTCGTTGTCGATTTGCGTCGGTATGATGATATACGCAATCGGGAACGGCGGTGGTCTGCGGTCGAATGGCGCTGGTAGCCGTGGAGCGGCGTTGTCGTCGGTCTTCGGCGGTCGATTTCTGGTCCTGGTCTTCTTGCTATCGGAACGTTTCTTGGAGATGTTGATAGTTTGAAGGATTGAAGTGGACTGACTAGATTGTATTTGCATTGCTTTGTTAGAGTACTCTGTTTCAAGCATTTAGCTTCTTACAGAGAGGAGGAAGTACAGAGTTGAGAGTGGTGAGTTTAGGCTTAAAGATTAGCTATTATTGTGAAAGAGGTTTTTTAATGAAGTGCTCCTTGGGTGAGTTTTTGGAGAGAATGTCGGAGATGTGCTTGAAGCTTGAGTTTTTGATGCGTTGAGTAAGTGAAACTTTGTTTTTTGATAAGTGATCTTTTAGTGATGGAGTCTTTAAGGATGATCTGATGGTATCGTTGGAGACATACCAGTCCAGTCCAGTAATTTGACGCAGGGTAGTAGACTGAACTGCCTCTAGTTTTGCCCAGCTGCTATTGGAAATATTTGCCGTCCATGCAGGTCCCGCATAGGTCAGGATAGGTCTGATGTAGGTTTTGAATATATGTAGTTTTGAAATGGTTGAAAGAGGGCTACGTTTATTAATAAGGGGAAAAAGGGAATGTTTGGCTCCTTTAGCCTTGGTGATTATGTTTTTTACGTGAGTGCTAAAAGATAGCTTTTTATCTATGGTGACCCCTAGGTACTTGATGTTATTTGACCATTTGATGGGAGTGTCGCCAAATTTTACGCAATCTCCCGCTCTAGTCTGCTTGTTGCTGAACATAATGGCTGAGGTCTTGAGTGGATTGATTGATATTTTCCACTGATGGAACCATTCGATCGAGAGATCAATCTGGGCTTGAAGGTTTTTAATTGCACACGATTGGGATATGCTATCAGCGTAAAATAATGTGTCGTCAGCGAAGAGGGCTATCTTGGCTTTGGAGGATAATGGCATATCGTTGATGTATACGGAGAATAGGTGCGGAGAGAGGCATGACCCCTGAGGGACTCCAGCTCTTATGGTCTTGGGGGAAGATCTGGTATCGTCGATTTTTATGCAGAATTTCCTTTCTTTGAGAAATGACTGAATGATGGAGACCAGCTGTTGAGGTACTTGCATAGCCAGGAGTTTGAATAAAAGGCCCTCGTGCCATACCTTATCAAAAGCTTTTTCTATATCAAGGAGAGTTACTGCTGTTTTTAGCCTTCTGTTCATATTATTTGTTATGTTGTCTATGAAGTTGACTAGTTGAATTTCAGTGCTGTGCTGGGGGCGAAAGCCAAATTGTTCAGGTCTGATTTGAGGCAATATGTGACTTTTAAGTCTGGAGAGTAAGAGTTTCTCGTATAGTTTACCCATCGTGTTCAGGAGAGATATAGGTCTGTGGTTGGTTGGGATTTTTGGGTCTTTTTTCGGCTTAGGAATCATAATTATATCAGCAATTTTCCACTGGTTGGGAAAATATTCTAGACGAGTGCAAGAGTTGAATATTTTACACAAGTAGATCGCAAGTTTTTTCCCCCCACGTTTGAGAGCACAATTAGATATAAGGTCAGGCCCAGGGGCGCTTTTATTGGGGAGTTTGCGAAGATTGTTCCAGATTTCGCCTGGAGAAAAGAAGATGTTTTTGTCGTATATCGAGTTTAAGTGTTGTTCCAGGGTGTTGTGTACTATTTCGTCTACCCACGAAGTACTAGCCAGAGGAGAAAATTGATTTTCCATGCTTGAAGCGAAGATGTTGGCTTTTTCGAGTGAATCATAGTGGAGGAAACCATGATCGTCCTTAAGTGGATGGGAAGATGGAGATTTCCTGAGAAGTCGTCTATTGAGCTTATAAAGTCGGGACCACCCTTGGGGACCAATATCGATTGAGGACAGGAAATTGGACCACTCTTCGTCGCGATTTGATTGTAGGAGATCGCTGACTAAACGATTTTGTCGGTTAAGTAGCGTTTTTATATCCGGGTTCCTGGTCCTCTGCCAGATGGATCTTAGCCTGCGTTTTTTGGTTATTTGGAATTGGATCGATAGTGGAAGGTCAGTTTTTCTGTCAGATGGGTTGTGGATTGTGGAGTTGATTTTTACGTTGTCGGAGATGAAATTGGAGAGATGCTGAATAGCTGAGTCAACCTGTTCCTCTGTGAGAATTTCAGGGAGAGAAAATGGCTTGGAGAGCATATCAAGTTCGTATTTAATCCAGTCGGTGATGTAGCGAGGTTTAGGCGGAGATATGTGAGCAGAACGATGATGGATGTCTAGCAGAATAGGAGAATGGTCAGATGACAGTTCATTTGGAAGGTTCTCCAAATGATAGCTAAGACTACCTGCCTTTATTATGGCGATGTCAAGAACGTCTGGATTGTGATTTGGGTTTGTTGGATAACGAGTTGGAGAGGTAGGAGCTGTAACAGTTGTGTCTAGCCTCGAGTCTAGATAATTAAATAATGTTCTACCTGCAGTATTTGTGGACCTGCTGTTCCACGCTAGATGTTTTGCATTAAGATCGCCTGCGATTATAACGTTTTGACCTGAGTCTAGAATGATGTCCAAGTCTGATGTTACAAGTTGGGTGCCTGGGATTTTGTAAGCCGAGACAAGAGTAAGTTCCGCGTCATTGATTTGGATAACGATTGCCGTATTGTTGATGGATGTTGTGATGATTTTGACATGGTGATGAATAAATTTCTTGTTAACTAGGACAGCAGTCCCTCCGGCTGGAGGTTGGCCATTCACTAGTGGTCTATTGGTTGCGTAAGAAAAGAAGTTAGGGAGATTAAATTGGCTATTTGAAGCAAGGTGAGTTTCATTTAAAAGAATAATGTCAACCTTTTTCCTCTGGACTAGGTCGAGTAGTTCAAGGCGTTTCCGAGCAACGCCTTGACAGTTCCAAAACAATATTCTTGTGTCAGACATTGTGAGATAGGAGAAGGGGGATAAGAGCATTTAGAGTAGAGATGAGAACGTTTCTGATGTTGGCGGAGCCGGCTGTGAGCTCTGACAGCAGATTAGTGAGCAATTGGATGGCTTCTGGATTGACAGGCTGGCTTGATAATTTTGAAGGCTTAGGGCCAACTACAGTTGCGTATGACTGAGGGCGGATTATAGCATCTTCATTAGATGGAGGAGTGATGGTTGCTGGAGGTTGATAAAGAGTTGTTTGAACGCGTTGTTGATTGAACATGGGTAGGGATGCTTGCTTAGCGGCTTTAGTCTTTAAGAATTCTGGACATTGTTTGTAGTTGGCTGTGTGAGGGCCTTCACAATTAATGCATTTGGGAGTCTGTTCTAGGGTCTTGGGGCAGTCTTTGGCCAGGTGGGATCCAGCACATTTCACGCATCTTGGGGTAAACCCACAGTAGATGCTGGAATGACCAAAACGTTGGCAATTAAAGCACTGGGCTGGGTTTGTCGCTTTGTAGGCTTCTACCTTTACCGAGATATAAAAGAATGAAGATTCCCTAAATATTGACTTGCTGGCAGGGTTGTTTGGTAAGGAGACCATATGAAGGGGCAATTTTTTGCCGGCTTTAACGAATTGGCGGACTGCAGAGATTTCGTATCCTTTGGATACTAGTTCTTCGGAGAGTTCGATGTCAGAGATATCAGTAGGCAAGCCCCTGATTACGACTTTGAGTGTTTTTTCTTCGGGACTTGGAAACGTGAAAAATTCAGTTTCAGTGTTCTTGAAATATTTTTGGACAATTCTGAACATATCAGAGTCAGTGCATTGGATTTTGACCGAGTCATTCCGGAAAGCTTTGACTGTTATCGAGTCAATAGGAACTGCTTTCATAAGTTTGGACGCTGCTTTCCTCCATGCTGAGGTAGAAGTGATTAGTGGTGGAGGAGGTTTGATCTTTTGTTCGACAGGTGGAAGGTCTTGAGTGGGAGTAGGCGTTGAGCGGTTGGAGATTGATTTTCCCGGAGAAGAAGAACGGATGTTAGTTGGCAGAGATCCTGGTAGACCTGATATTTGGTCAGTTGAGGTTAGTTCTGAAATGGACGACATTGATTCGGAATCAGAAGAAAGAGATTCAATATCTTTTTGTTTTTGTTTTTTGGTTGACGATTGAAGTGAAGAAGCCGATGAAGTTGGTCTTTTGATTGTAACCTTTTGAGGAGGAAGAAGATTTGGGTCGGAACCACGGCGTGGAACGTTTTTCTTTACCCTTGTCATTATTACTAGAGGTGGAACCGTCGTGCACGATGCACAGACGCGACCCGGCGGTGCGAACCAGCGGGTTCACTTGCCTCGTAGTCGAGGGGGGGTTCAGAGTAAAAAAAGTAAGGTACTTACTAATGAATAAGAAGACTGAACGAGTTGCTCATTCAGGCAGATGCAGATGTCGTGTTCAACGCTGAACGTCACTTTGATGAACGATGACGACTGATGCGAACGACTGACGAACGACGACTATATGACTAGATTGTCGAGAGTGTCCGGTATTTATACCCTTTTCGACAATCTAGTCCATCGTTGATTGGTCCGCGTACTATGTTTTAGACGAGTGAAAATCACACCGTTGACCGGACATTCCTATCTATTATGTGTGATTTTCACTCGTCATATCGTGTCCTTTTGCCAATCGTTTTTACTTGGTGGGTGTTTGTTCCGTAACAAATATTTATACTTATAAATGTATTTAAAATACTTAACTGTGTTATTTTTTTTAAGGATACAATGGGTTGGAGAGAAAATGACTACAGGGGTGTATCATTTACATTTGGTGCTGCCGTTGTGAGACAATTTTTGCATAAACATGATTTTGATTTCATATGTAGGGCTCACGAGGTTTGTAAATATTTTATTAACTAAATTAATATAGTTAATTTATTTAGTAATTTTATTTTTTAGGTTGTAGAGGATGGTTTTGAGTTATTTGCAGAGGACAAGTTGGTCACTTTATTTTCAGCACCAAATTATTTAGGAAAGTTTGGTAATGCTGGAGCACTGATGTTTGTCGACGAAACTCGAATGTGCTCATTCCAGATTTTAAAGGTATGAATGTTATTGAATTAATTTTTACAAATTGGAGCTTATTACCCACAAGTATTTTTTTTTGTACTAAAATTACTTTTTACATTAATTATTATTAACTTTAGTAAGGGACATAGCTGTGTTAGGGTGAGTTTGGTTAGAATTTTTTTTAATTGATTACAATAGTGCACTACAACACTATTCTACCTAGATATTGTACTAACAATTTCTAGTATATATTTAAAGTAAAATATATAATTCAAGAAATTATATTACATGTGGGGTTTTTAATTTGGTTTTAATCTATGTAACTTGAATATTATATTTTTAGTATAATCTTGTCCAATTTATATTAATGACTTGAGATAGTATAGAGATTTAAAAAAAATATGTTGGACAATTAAAAACATTGTAAATGTTTCCTGTTTTCAAATAATAAAAAAGTATGCAAGAGTTTAAATTAATAATAATACTTAAACTTGTTTTATTTGTTTTAAAGACTGATAGATTCAAATACCTACTGGAGACGCATAAAATTCTATGATGCTAATGCATCTTTTCCGTTGTCTAATTAGTAAGTCTGAATGGGGCAATCTTTTAAAACCTTTCCTATAGCTGTTCATATTTATTTTCTTATTGACCTACATTATTTTTTAACTGCACGAATTATAATAGAGCAGAGTCCCAAGAATCTGAGTATGCCAATTCCTACCCTTTATTATTAATTTAAATGTTTAATTAACATGTATTCATACAGAGTTCTGGCTATAACCTGGGTATTAATACATTTATATATAAAATTAGCATGACTAGTGATAATTGTTGTTAATTCATTACGAGATTCTTAAAGTTATAGAAATAATTGCTTGTCAAATTCACTATTTTCATAATGTTGGATATTGGCCTGTTTGTAAAATCATTTCTAGCTAAGTAGTATATATTTATATACAGTGTGCGTAAGAAAATAATAATAAGATTTGTGTAAACCGTATAGGATATTATCTAGTTTATAAAATAAAAACCACATCTAATACCATAGTTATTCTCAGGATGCTTTCACAGGTACAGAGGAACTGAAAAATTAGTGGAAAACTAGACAAGTCAATTTTTGAGTCTACTCGAGGAAACTAGCTCTATAATTTAGTACCTGCAAATAGGGTTTAACCTTATTAGTTTAACATTAAAGTATGACAAGTAGTCTCTCCAGCAGTCGTGTAAAAGATACTTTTAAAAAGTATTCAAGTACAGATACAGATACTTGTTTTAAAAAGTATTTAAAATACGTATTTGAATACTCGAAAAAAAAAGTATTTAAGTACAAATACAAATACTTTTAAAAATTATTTACAGATACTTTTAAATACTTTCAAATACTTTTTTTTTTTTTTTTAAATATTTTTCACTTTTTTACCTTAGCCTAATAGATAATTTGAATTATTAGTCAACTAAATAATTTTTTTTTTAGCACTCTAGTTTTACTTAAATTAATTAGAAGAAGAATAATTCAGCATTTTTTTTTCTTTGGTGTATGTCCATCAAATACTATAATACTTTGACAGTTCGACAACAATGTAATGTATTATAAATAAAGTCTCATAAAATATACAGTATACAATATATTACATTCATTACTCATTAGTAATTTTATAAATATGACAAAGTAGCTATTGTTATTATTATCAAGAAAAATTGCTATTTTTTTAAAAAACTATTTTTTTATTAGACTTACAGTAGTTACATGTAAAATTATACATATAATCAGATTTTGATTTTTCAATCTATAATAAATAATTTATTGCATTTAAGTAGCATAACTTTTTCAAAGTTTTCATCAGTTATCCTACCTCTTTTTTTGTTAAGACAGCTCCACCTACACTAAAAACCCTCTCTATAGGTGCACTGCTGGGCAATGGTGTATTAAACTGTATGAAAACTTCTTTTAAAATTGGTAAATTTTTAAAACATGATAAATCTTTTTGTGGACTTTTACTGAAAAACATATTAATTTAATTTTCTACTGAAGTAATTTCTGAAGATTCTTGGGATGAGTTCCAATGAAAGAAAGAAAATAATAAAAAAAATTATTCTTATTGAAATATTTTGTTTAGTATTAATTACCTACTAACTTTAACATGCAAAAGTATTGAAATAATAATTATACATTAATTTTATAAACTATTTGTGCAATAGTCTAATTGATCTTTTAAACTATAATTAGTTATTACAGCCGGCCGACAAACGAAAGTATGGAGGATTGGCATCAGGCAGACCAGTTACACCACACATAGGATCTGGTAAACAAGGAAAAAATAAAAAATAACCAATCTTGATGCAATATATATTTCTATACCTATGTATGCAACAACAAAGTATTAAATAGTAATAAATTAAATGTTACATAATATGAAAAACAAATGAAATTTTTTTTTATAGAAAAAAATTATACCGAGAAACTAGTTTAAATAATAATGTATTTATATCATTAAGTACCCCTTTATGTTCCATCATAACTATATAGAGTACCATATACCTATCATACGTATCCAGTTTCGTATTAGTTTTGAGTTGTAGGTACGCTAGTCGCGAGTGTAGTTTAAGTGTTTTACCATGGAACTTATTAAATCAAACAAGGGAAATCATAAAATTGCACTAAATTGGGTATACTTTTACGATAAAAAAGATATGCCAACGTATAATCCGATGGAAATGTTCCGAAAAATCGTCGATGAAATGTACAGCAATTAGTTAAACAGTTAATTACTAATTTGAAAGTGAAAAAAATCATACGATTTGAAGAAGAAAACTGACTGTCATGGTGCTAATAAAGGTGCAATAGGAGCAATGAAAATAAAACAAACGATAAAGGAATGTTCACTTCAGACTTGCAACAATCCAGGACAAATTTTTGCTCAAGCTGTACAAAATGTACCAAAAGAAATTAATTACCATCCGAAGATTCAATAAAAAGAAGTATTCGTAACCTAAGAAGCAGTTTAAATCCGAAAAATCCAAATCGTCTACAAGAACTTGTTATTGAAGGTAATTTGCATTACCTACCTATTATTATAATAATTTATAAATGGCTTGGTTTACTACAAAATAGTTTTTAATAAAACTATATAACATGTATTACCTATGGGCTAAGTATACCTATGTAAATACCTATATGATAAAAGACTGAATTTAAATCAAATATTAATTTGGAGACTTTTTTTCCGTGGGACTTACCGGGGACTTTTTTACCATGGACTTTTTTCCTAATATCCATTTAAACAGCCACAGGCTAGGTTGCGTACGCTAGGGTACTTAAACCCCCGTAGTATAGAAATAATTTCTGGAAAATATATGGATTATTTTGAAACTACCCTTTTTATATTTTACAGCTTCAAGCTTGCAGTATTACCTACACATTTATAGTTAAAATACCGTTTGGTAATAACATTGAATATAAATACTATAATTATAGGATCTAAAAAATAATTTAAAATAAATATAACACCACACATCATAAAAATATAAATATTATGTTGAGTTAAAAATAATACCTGAGGTAGTCATCATAATATTATCTATATTATCCAGATTAATAATTTGATTAGATAACTCATTAACATCAGCTGCAATAATTATAGGATCTAAAAGATAATGTAAAATATTTATAACATCACACATCATAAAAATATAAATATTATGTTGAGTTAAATATAATACCTGAAGTAGTCATCATATTATTATCTATAATATCCAAATTAATTATCTGACTAGATAATTCATTAACATCTACAATAGAATCAGAAATTAATTTTTAAAAAAAATATTACATTACACAGCATAAAAATATAAACATTATGTTGAGTTAAAAATAATACCTGAGGTAACCATGGCTGCATTACTTTTATTCTTGTACTTGAATTTAGGTACATAATATATTTTTTGATCTGTACGGCGTATCTGTACGAAGGTATATTATTGTCTTGTGGATTTACCAAGTTTAACATAAATTTGCATCGGTTCGATTGAGATTTAGACATTTTTTTGGACATGGTGTACGACAGCTATAATATTATAATAGGAATAATACAGTATTAATCAAACAAGTAAAATATTGTACATTTTTATCAATTACCTAATATTATATTACATTATGTTCTTGTACTATAATTATTAACCTAATACTTAACAATAATAAATTACTATACTACCTTGCAACAAAATAGTTATACATACCTATTTGATCGAAGTTCTTAATAATATGTGAAGAAACGAACAAAAGCTCCGTACACCAACCAACGTCAAACACAATTTAAACAAACACGAGATAAGAGTTATTCTACACAGAATTAAATACGTGTTATACTAATAATATTTTTTACTAAGGGTTATTATAGTCTTAATATGGCCTTATGATACTTGTTATAAGGGTTAAAAGTTGGTAAAACCATTTCCAAGGCACCTCCCCTATGAAAAACGTTCGTATCTCGGGAAGTTCGAAAGCACAAATGTTGGGAATTTCGGCACAAATTAATGGCACCATTCAAATTTTGAAATATGAAAATGGGGGTGCAACCATTTCCCCAGCACCCCCTATAAAAAACATTCGTATCTCGGAAAGTTCAAAAGCACAAACGTCGGGAGTTTCGGCACAAATCAGCACAAATGAAGCACAAAAAAGGCTCTTGGTTTCATTTAAAAATTCCAAAGTGGGGGTGCCAGGGAAATGGACATTAACCTTTAACAGTGACTTCTAGTTCCTTGTAATCCATGTATGTTTATATATTCTATTGTATTTTGAATAAAAATTAAATGTTTTTAACTTGATATAGGTAAACATTTGGTGTTTTTTTATATGATATTAATTTGGCTAATTTTGTGTCGCTTGCTATACTTGCTATCCTGGCTACGAATTTATACTTTCCACATTTTCTGGAATTTATGAAATTACTGAATCATGTATCAAACCGTTGCAGAGTATTAAGCCGGTAACTGGATGGATACCTACGGTATGTTAATCCATAATAATTAGGTAATAATATTAGTACATAGCCTATAGGTATTCAGATATTGTTATAATAAAATGTTTGACTTTAAGACTATTATATTATTAATAATTTTAATTTTTACTTATCGTTTAATAAATTGCATGTTCGAAAATAAATATATTTATTTATATTTTATTTATTTATTTATTTATTTATTTACATATATGTTTGGTTTTTTCTAGAATCCTAGGAAGTTGTGTTGTATTAATATATTTTTACTGATATATTGTTACCATAACAGTTGAAAATTATTAAAAATACTTAGGCATAATTTTTTTTTACAAGCATTTGAATTTGGAATTTTTCCAAAATGTATATAATTTAAAAATTATTTTATAGTTAAAAATGTATAAAATGTTCAACTTTTATGGCTAAGTATTGGACATCAAAACAAGGTTCCACTTAAATAGTTTATGTATAATTGTATAAATTACTTTATTCATAATAATATCATCATAATATATACTTAGTATAATATCATAGAGTATAGACAGACTGACAGTCTTCACTCTTCACTCAGAACAGTTTTTCTTATATAATGATATTATATCATTGAACTCAAATTTAACACAATTCATTACAGTGACCCATTTGTAACCTACTGTACAGCAGAGCGAAACCCACTTGCCCACCTTTTTTATACTGTATTTGTGTACCTATTTATAAAATATATTTTTTAAAACTATCTATTCAGGCATACCTAATTAAATAACAATAATGTAGAATAACGAAATCATCTATTATGTCAAAATCCAAAATAATACTTAATATAAATACCTAGGTAGTAGGTACTTACCTAGGTAATTCAGACAATTTTCAATCCTACGTATTTACTACCTATTGTAGGTACCAACTTGAAACATTCGCCGATTATTTGATTAAAATATGGGTGAGAAAAATCATTTAAAATTTCTATCATATTTTGTTAGCTACGAACTTATAGAATTTTAAAAATTTTTTTCTTTACTTTTATTTCTAGAGGTTTGAATTTGTATAACTTTACTATTAACCTAAAAATATAATGTATGCTATATAGGTAAGTACCAGATTATAAAAATAAATTATTAGTTATGTAAAATTATTGAAAATTGCAACCTGTGATAATATTCAAAAAACATAAATCGACGTTCTTTTCGTGATAATTTCTCATTTTAATAACTGCATTCTTTTAAATTGGCTATACGTCACGATGTTTCTTAGAATTATTTTTAAATATTTTATAGTTGAAATTGATTAATTATTTTTATGGGAAACATTTCAGAAATCCCAGTCGACATATTTTTAAGAATGAGCTATTGTAAGTTCGACGCTTAAGTACGTTTAAAGCCAGTGCTTGAATTGGAAAAAAAATAGAACGGGGATGCAAAAGTATAAAAGATATCCCCGAAAATTTAAATATCTTACTGTTAAGTGGTAGCATATGTCCCCCCCCGCTACAATGACATTTTACATCATACAGCAGTAAATAAATATTCCTTTTTATTTAAAAATTAAAAATAAAATATTGTAAAATACATAATATTAATTGTTATTTGTTTTATAAATTTAAATATGCCCGTAAATGTTTATATGAATGATCTATGTCATGTTCGTCTCGTTTTGGACATCTTGTTTCTTCTGCACTTCTTTTACCCTTTTTAATCGAACTTTTTACTATTTGCTATAGAATATCACAATTAAAAATGTGAATTTATTAATTATTAGACAAGATTTATTTTGGTTTTTAAACAAATTTATGATAATTATTATATTTACATGCATTGAATTTAACAAATATCTACTAACTTTGATCCACTGTATCTTTTAATTTGTTTTTCTTTGAGAAATATGAAAGGAAAGTTGAAGCACTGCCTTTATTTCCACTCATTTTCTTCAATAATGAATAGTCAATAGCTACTTAATTTAAATATTTAATAACCAAGTTTTGAAGGTAAGTGGTGACGAACGCCAATGGTAACAATACGACAGTATATAAACTTTTTAACTTTTATTACAATAAGGTTTTAATGACGAATACGGAAAAAAATAATAAATACAATTGACAGGACGTCGCTTTATCAACGTCGTATAGTTCAACTATATGATATTTTGTTTATTGTGTATGTACTTACATATAATCATTATATTTCTTAATTTTAGATCAGGCAATTTGCAATTTTTTTTTAAACCTCCCTTCCACAATTTTAAATCCCTGTAATATAAGATAATTTTTTTTAATTACATAACTGTATAGGCAATATACCTACCTAGTAAATACCTACGTATATCGTATACTGTAACT